CATAATTAATTTTTAAATAAAAACTTCTGTTTTAAAAAAATTAAATACATAATTAACAATCCATGTATATATAAATGTCGTACACCTATATCAGTATATTTTGTTTCTAATAACATTACTTTATTTATATATTATTACATATTGAAAGAGTTATATTTTTGGCAATGAAGTTCAAAAATTAATATAAGTGAAGATATATTCTTGCAAGCAAGAGAAATAAAAAGGAAAGTTCTTTTATTTATATTTATATTTATATATTCGAATATATTTATATTTATATTTATATATTCGATTTATATACATATATATTAGATCTTATTATGGATATATTTTGTAGGAAATCACATAAGAAGGAAAGATCCTTGGAAAGAGAAGATAGAGATCTACACCTACCATATCTCTTATGATTTATATGGAAGGAAATTGGATAAACTTGGAAGGAAATCAAAAAGGAGTCCTATACTTGGAGAACACTCCACATCCTAGGGATTGTATATATACCTGCTTGAAGAACGAATTTTGGAGAGCTGAGAGCATCATATTCTGTTCAACATTCTCTTAATCGTACTAGCATGCTATGCCACTTTACTAGAAATTTGGTTGATGATGGATTAATTGTTCATAAATATGTTCCAGCACATAACCTTGATGCTCAAAGATTTATCTCTCTAAGGAAATCCTTAGGGATATGCATTCTCTGATTGCTTGCATGCCATTATATTATATTGTATTGTATATTAGTATATATATTATATTTGCATTGCGTGTATGCATATAGGGTATTATTTGCATTAGGCATGCCTTGCATTTTTGCATATATTTCACCACTAAGTCATAAATGAAGTTTTGACTCTTCTGAAAGCGGGTGAGATGTTGATTGTCTTTAATTGATGGCGTGTTCTTGCATACCTTGGAACAAATATATTTCTGTCAAAAAGAGCTGCCTTCACACAATGATCTAGAGCGATAGCTAGCACATGGTTCGTTTCCTTTGGGATCGACTGTGAAAAGAGCGTCATGGACAGAAAATGTTGTGAAGGGTGGTAGCTATTGACAACCACTGCACTTCATTGTGTGGTGTTTTTACTTGGAGTTATAAGGTGGTCATCTTCATAAAAAACGTAGTGCATAAAAAAAAAAAAAAAAAAAAAAAAAAAAAAAAAAAAAAAAAAAAAAAAAAAAAAAAAAAAAAAAAAAAAAAAAAAAAAAAAAAAAAAAAAAAAAAAAAAAAAAAAAAAAAAAAAAAAAAAAAAAAAAAAAAAAAAAAAAAAAAAAAAAAAAAAAAAAAAAAAAAAAAAAAAAAAAAAAAAAAAAAAAAAAAAAAAAAAAAAAAAAAAAAAAAAAAAAAAAAAAAAAAAAAAAAAAAAAAAAAAAAAAAAAAAAAAAAAAAAAAAAAAAAAAAAAAAAAAAAAAAAAAAAAAAAAAAAAAAAAAAAAAAAAAAAAAAAAAAAAAAAAAAAAAAAAAAAAAAAAAAAAAAAAAAAAAAAAAAAAAAAAAAAAAAAAAAAAAAAAAAAAAAAAAAAAAAAAAAAAAAAAAAAAAAAAAAAAAAAAAAAAAAAAAAAAAAAAAAAAAAAAAAAAAAAAAAAAAAAAAAAAAAAACGAGTTCTTACACCGATCATTGGGGCAAAGTAGTGGGGTTGACTTTCACTATTGCAGTGATTGTTATTAAGTGAAAAGCCTCAATGTAAATTAATGTTGTTGCTTAAAATCATTGGGCAAAGTAATGGGGTTGACTTTCACTATTGCAGTGATTGTTACTAAGTGAAAAGCCTAGTGAATAATAAAGCTTATGTTGTTTTGGTGTTGGAATTCTGGAGAGATATGACTTGCGCTACATATACATATATATAATAATACCGCCTCTGTTTTGTTCCTTGGTGTGTTTGTAGCACAATGTTGATTTTGGATTAATTATGCATCAATCCTGCCTAAGTAGATTAAGAAAGGATTTTATTGATTTTAGTGTCTTGCATGCGGTTTTAATTTTATTTTTTCATCCTTAGGCATAATGCATGTGATTTCCTTCTTGAGTGAATTACTTGGACGTTAAAAAATGTGAGGGACTTTATTTTTGGATGATAAAATCTTATTCTTCCTAATTTTGAATTAGTTGGACACGTGTGTTAGTGTGTTAATGGGTTTGTGTGTTCAGTTTTGATGGGGATGTTCTTGCTGCATGATATTCAACCTTTCCCTTGATATTTTTTTTTTTCGAACCTCACCCATCACGTCCTCACTATGTATCTTCATTTTCAGAACCTGAGAACCCCATTTTTATTTTTCTCTCTTTGAATTTTTCTTTTAACCATTTGTGTTCCTGCATCATTTTCTAATGTGCTTCTGAAACACTTTGGCTGATGGCAAAAGACTAGCGAAGAGATGGATAGTCTTCAATGATTAGAGATCAGTTCAAGCAACGACTTTCGTCTTCGGTTATATTTTTTTTTTCTCTCTCATTCGATGTTCTTACTCAGGGGGAGATTTGCCTTTGGCATTTCAGTCTAAAAAGGGGGAGAAAAAGGATGTTTCTGAAAATATTGGGGATAATGTTATAGTTGTTTGCTTCTGATTATTTGTGGTTGCTGTTTTTGACATGTTTCTGCAAGATGTAAGAACGTCTATGTCTTGCTGTTTGATTGTTTTGACTATTCTGACAGGGGGAGATGTATTGGTCATTCTGTTTGACTTAGGTTCTGATAGCTTGATGTGTTTTGATTGCTCTGATTATAGTCCTCTTAGTTGCTTTGATAGGAATTACCATCGTCGTTTCTTCACATGGAGGACGGTGGAAAAAGAACACTGGTACAGGCCCTTCGGCATCCCGTAGTTCGAAAAAGGGGGAGATAGAGGCAAAGATGGTCAAGGATGATGCTGAGAAGTCAGGGGGAGATTCAATAGTTGAGATTGGTTTTTTGTTAGAACCTCTTATGACTTTTCTTTTGTGTGGCTACTGTTAATACTTGCTGTGATTGGTAGGATGTTTGCTCTGATTGTTTTATGCTATGTGCGTCTAATAAGTTGTAACTGCAGGTACTTTATGGACTGTGTTCTTACTGCAGTGATTTGTTCCTTATGATATTATTCTGCATATTCGTGCTTGCTGTTCTAACTGTGTTTCAGGTTATTTTCATTATATGATTTTCGAACTAGATGCCAAAGGGGGAGATTGAAAGAGTTATATTTTTGGCAATGAAGTTCAAAAATTAATATAAGTGAAGATATATTCTTGCAAGCAAGAGAAATAAAAAGGGAAGTTCTTTTATTTATATATTTATATATTCGAATATATTTATATTTATATTTATATATTCGATTTATATACATATATATTAGATCTTATTATGGATATATTTTGTAGGAAATCACATAAGAAGGAAAGATCCTTGGAAAGAGAAGATAGAGATCTACACCTACCATATCTCTTATGATTTACATGGAAGGAAATTGGATAAACTTGGAAGGAAATCAAAAAGGAGTCCTATACTTGGAGAACACTCCACATCCTAGGGATTGTATATATACCTGCTTGAAGAACGAATTTTGGAGAGCTGAGAGCATCATATTCTATTCCATATTCGAGCTGCAAGTTTTTTGTGTTTTATTTTCGTTGGTCAGTTTTCGGTGTTCTTACGTCATCGAAGAACTGAAGTCTGTTTTGTTTTCTTTTCTTTGTTTTTCATTCAAACACTTGTGTGATCAGTGCTTAGGGATTAAGTACTGTCTTTAGCTCGAGGGATTCGAGAAGTAAAATCCACGGGACGTGGTCGGAGAAATAGTTGATAGAATCGTGTGTAGTTGTGGCTAGACTAGAAGGAAGTTCGAGTCGTGTAAGTCCAAACTATACAAGTGTGCACAAATGGTTTATCAATGAAAGAGCTCTGAGGGGAAGTGGGACGCTTCCCTGAAGAGTTTTTAAATCTTCGGTTTATTGCTTCCGCTATTCTAGTTGTTTATTTGTGTTCTAACAAAGTTGAGCGCACTCGTTACAAAATACCTACGAAAAAATTTATGCTGAGTTAACATTTGAATACCGACCACAAAGTATCTAAAGAACCATCTAAAATACTTGATTCATAAGTGAAATTAAAAACTCGATTGATGCGCCACTTAAAATTAGAACCCCGAAAAAGATAACCATGAGGGACTTGGTCCGCATATAGTCCACTTTTTCAACACCACGTCAAACTCTAGACCATAAAGAAAAAGTCGTAAAACTACACGTGTATTTTCCACTCCTAGTTTTGTAATACTTTTGGTAGCGCCTGAAGCCGAAAGTGTGGTCGGAGAGTAGCCAAAATCGTCAGCATTATCGTCACCAAATTTCATGAAACTCTCGTTTAAATACTCTTTAAACACTTTCCCCACTCATCAGCTCACAGTTCCCAACTTAAAATTTCACGACACAGCCTTTGCTATTATTCCAACTCTACTTAAAATTCCACTAAATTGCCACTTGCCAGTCTGAAAACAACCGCCAGGTACTTTTTCTATTGAAATCACTTGTCTTTCCTTTTTCCATCAGTCTCACTGCTTTTTATTTTTCTGCTTTTGTCTTTTGGACAATTGAGGTAAAATAAATTTATGAGAAACAAGAAGATAGTGAAGTGTTTGTTTCTTCTGCTCTATTCAGTAATCTTTGTTCAAACATTATTTTTTCACTTATTAGTCTTTTCCACTTCTTTGTTGTTGAGGATTGTTCTTGAAGCAGATAGATATAACTAAAAATTAACTGATAGATAAAGCTTTACAATTGCGGATTATGATTTCAGTTATGTTAGAACAGAATGTCCTCTTTAATGTGGAACAACTGAAAATTCGCTTAGACATAATGTCCTTGTCTTTTATCTCTGTTGTTAAAAAGTCCCTCCATACTCTTTCACACAACTGAAGCAAGCATTCTGTTTCCTTTGTTAACACAAAAAGACAGTCAATTTATTTGCGAAAATGTTGTCTGTTTCCAGGTTGACATCCTAAAACACTCTCTGACACCTCTTGATTGATGGAATCAAGTTTCTACGGATTCGGTGTAACCAATATTGCAGGCTCATACTACTCTTCATGCTCGACTCCAACCACACTAGTCCCCTCGAAATCCAACTCCGGATGCTCGCCTAATTCACCTCTCCCCACTTATTTCCACCAAGGCACAAAAACATACGACGACAACATGAACCAATACGACGAATATAACTCTTCACTTGATCACACCACCAACTATCATAATTATTATTATCATCCCCACCTATCAGAATACATCCCACAAATCCCCTCCGACCAGCAGCAGATGAGACACGCCCTGCACGAACTCGAGACTGCCCTCATGTCCACAGACGACGACGAACCCCCCGCTGATGTGGCAGCACCCACAACAGCACCGCATCTCAAATTCCGCCACATGGCGACCCTCGGTGCCATCGCCGAGGCCTGCGGCAATGAAGCCCGGATCCACATCGTCGACTTCTGGGCCGACTGCTGGGCCCACTGGGCCGTCCTACTGCGAGCCCTTGCGGGAAGGCCCGGTGGGCCCCCAAGCGTTCGCATCACGGCCGTCGACCCCAATTGGTCAGAAAGCCTCGAAGCCGTGGGAAAACAATTGGAGGAGGTCTCGAGGGAATTTGTAATCCCGGTTGAGTTTCGGGTGGTCCCTGAATTTTGCCTCACGGGCGTGAGGCCGGGAGAGGAGGCTTTGGCGGTTAACTTTGGTACGCGCGTGGGGTGCTGTGATTTGGATGGGATAGTGGGGATGGTGAGGTTGGTTGGTGCGAGGGTGGTGACGGCTGTGGAGGAGGAGATGAGGTGGAGGTCGAGAATGGTGGCGGGGGGCTTCCGGAAGTTTCCGCTGAGTTCGTATGTGAGCTCGGTGACGAGGGAGCTGTTGGGATGCTATTCGGAGCACTACTCGGTGGTGGAGGAGGATGGGGCTGTGATGTTGAGGTGGAAGGGTAGGACCGTCATATCTGCTTCTGCCTGGCAATGAAGATTTTAAGACGAAGAAGAAGAAGAAGAAAATCATGTCTTACTAATAAATAAGCTGAAGCATTTCAGAGAAAGAAGAAATATTTTCTTTCTTTTGGATCATATTATAACTTCCTCTTTTTCTTCATGTTGTTATAAAATATAACTGTGGAAATCTGTAATTACGTTGGTTGAGAATTAATTATATACTATTATCTTTTCCTGGGGAGGTTTGACGGGAAGTGGCACAGATCTGAAAACGCGGACTTCACACCGCCCATCAACGTTGATTTACGTGCGACCCCTTTAAACTTTCAAATATATACACAGAGCTATCTAGCGAAACTCATCTGTTATTTGCAATCGCAGAACGAAAACCTCATATAATCATAATAAGAAAGCGAGAAAATGAATTTAATCGAGCAGGCCAAGAACTACGTGGCGGAGAAGGTTGCAAACATGCCGATGCCGGAGGCGACGATAATCGACGTCGATCTGAAGGGATTCGGCCTCGACGGCATCACTCTCCTCGCCAAAGTCTCCGTCTCCAATCCCTACTCCGTCCCGATCCCGATCGGCGAGATCGCCTACGTCGTCAAGAGCGCCGGCCGGGAGATCGCGTCCGGCACGATCCCCGATCCCGGATCCCTCAAGGCCGACGACAAGACGATGCTCGACGTCACCGTCAAGGCGCCGCACAGCGCCGTCGTCAGCCTCGTCCGCGACATCGGCGGCGATTGGGACATCGATTACCTCCTGGAGCTAGGGCTCATCATCGATCTGCCGCTCGTCGGGAACATCACGATCCCGATCTCGTACAAGGGCGAGATGAAGCTCCCCACGATCTCCGACTTCTTTGGAGGGGGTAAATCGTCTGCCGCGGATGACAAGGCTAATTGATTTTTTATTTTTTTTTATTTTATTTTATTTTATTTTTTTCCCTACTTAAGTTTTCACCAGCGCGTAGCTCGTGCGATGCACAGGATGGTATATTTTCCTGAAATGTTTAACGTGTGAAATATTAAAAATAATATAATTTATATATATGTAACAAAAATAAATGGATTGTAAAGAAGGAAAAAAAAATATAAACTATTGAACACTTTCTTTGTGAAGTAAAATTTGTGAAGCTTTGATATATTTGATTATGAATAGAAAAGTATGAAATACTACCTGCGAACCGTTGAGATAGATGAGAAGATTTATTTAGAATAAATAGAATAAATATTGAGATAATGATTTACCTTTTACATAGTATATATAAAATTAATATTGACATGATGTGAGAAAATTATGACGAATTATGACATAAATTTGTTTAGAAGTTAGTAGAAAATATTAAAAAATTAGATTTATTTTTTATTTTTTAAATCCTTACAGTAATTCGTACGCTCCTTTTCATACGCTTAATTTATCAAGTTTACACATACAAATCAAAATTAATGCAACTCGAAATATTATATAACAAATAAAATGAGATTTTTTATCTAACATTTAGTATATTGCCGGAAAATCTTTTATAAATCTTATTCTCTTTTTATGCACATAGATATTAAAAAATTAGTAAAAAAATTATCTAAATATGTTTAAAAGTATCTAATATTATATGTGTTAACAATGTTACAACCAAAAGACATTAAAATACGTAGTCTATTATATAACATATGTGAAAGTATTAAAATATTTTATATTATTATCGAAAAATGTGAAATTACCTCAATTCTGTCTAGACTATTTTATAAGAAAAATATATATACTTAAAGTTAGCATACACACACATATATATATCCTTAAAGTTTGCCCAACTAACATGTTTAAAAGTATATACAATTTTATATATAAAAACACGTTTAAAGTTTACATATTTTACAAAAATTAGACTGCTCTCAGTTTATATAAAGTTGGTTGCTCTCATATTCGGATAACGTATTATGCATTTAATGAAAGCACCCTACGATACAAATTTATAAATATTAATTAAAATAATTTTCTAAATTATATAAAATTAAAATAACAAAGGTAAATATTACCTGTTCATCATGAAACAGGAATGCGTTACAGCTCTCCCGTTGATGGGTTTCAATAATGCGGGTGCTCTCAAAGGCAAAAAAAAAAAGTTTGTTTCTTTTGTTAACGGAATCAAGTGTACCCAAGCCTGGAAGCATTATATTGTATATGCCATGAAAAATTATTCTCTGTATTTTTTTTCAGGCAAAGAAAAGTTTGTTTCTTTTGTTAAGGGAATCAAGTGTACCCCAGCCTGGAAGCATTATATTGTATATATTTTTTTCTCTGAACTCGTGAATGATGAGTTGTAATGGTAGTAGTGAATATCCTTTTATACAATTTTTTATTAACCAATAGTGATAAGATAATTATGGATTGTATTTGGATAGATAGTAAGTCCCATGATTTTTGCAACGGACAATCAATTTCACATATTTTTTATTAACTAAAAGTGATAAGATAGTTATGGATTGTATTTGGATAGATAGTAAGTCCCATGATTTTTGGAACGGACAATCAATTTCACATGCTTAATTAACGGAAATACCACCATTATTAAGGAGAATATCTATTTGTTTAATTAACGCAAATTTCATGCTAAATTAACGAAATATCCACTGCCTTTTCACGATTTTTCTTCCGATTTTAAAGTAGAATACATAAATAGAAAGTCAAAAGTCAACTCAATTATTTTTAGGTTTCTAAAAAAGGATTTTCACATCAACCTTTTTAGATATATATAGATTCGGACTTTTATTCGAAGATTACAAAACCATTCCGTTGGAATTTGTAACCGTTAGATCATCAAGTAACCGTCAATGATAGTTGATCTAACGATTACAAATCTTTGTTCCGTTACGGGATTGTAGCCTTATCCTTTATTTGGTTCCGTCAAAATAATTGATCACAGATGATAACTCAAAACATGGTTCCTGCCGATGAACTTGTAGGCAAAATACTCTAGACTGACTTGAATTTCACGTACTTCAAATTTACATTTTTTATGAGGTCGTATTCTAAATTGATCATATTCTAACCTACTCGTGTGGCTTGTTCCTCAAAACATTTTTAAAATACTAGTAAAGCCACGTGATACATAATTTATATTTTAATGTGATTTTAAATTATATTTTCTCTTTTATATTTTTATGGTCTATACAATGTTTTGCATTATTATTTTCAATTAATCAAACACAAGAAGTACATTACATAATAGACAGTGTCAAATGTAATGAAAGTTGAAATACAATTTTCAAAATAATAATTTTTAAAAGTCATGGTGAAAAGATTGCATGTGAAACCTTCATTATCTAAGTTAGTCTTGTTTATTCGAAATCTTTTTTGTTTGGAGAAGATTGAAAAATTTGCACAGTAAAACAAAATTAAATTTTTTTACTTAAATAATTGCATGTGATAATTTACAATTTTGTCTTTTTATCTTGTTGAAGGAGACCATTCTTTGTCATTATTGTTATTGAGTAAATAAAACAGTTATAACTCAATTGACATATGTTAGCAAAGTTTTTAAATATTATTCATATTATCTTCCCTTTTCCAGTAAAATATTTTTCATATGCTTCTTTTTAACTTGATCTAATTAATTATAATTATTTTCATGAGTTATAAATATACATTAAAGTTCCAATATTGTTGGTCGAATTTTATTTTATTTTTTCACTCAAATACTATTATATTTTTAATGAACCATTACAAACATATGGTATACAATCTGAATTAGATTACGATAATCTTAAAAGATAATCGATAAACATAAAAAAAAAAATTGGTAAATTATATTTTATTTTTTACTTAAGAAATAAATTAATTTAAATTGAAGATTCATATTATGTATAATTAGCTATGGTTTTTGGCCTTCAGGTCACATCTAATGCTAAGATAATTGCGATTAAATAAATTGTGTAAATATCAACCAATTAATGTATAGTAAACCACATAAAATGCATATTCTTAAGTTCATAACTATAAAACCTTTAAATTTCCTCAAATGAGTGATGTAGATGAACCATAATATTATAAACTCTGTCGAATGAAACATATATATACATATAAACTTGGTCAATTTTTCGTTTAACATTTGTTACTAAACATAATTTTTTATTCATTCAAGGTGTATTTATATATCATATGATATCTTAGGTTAGATATAATTTTATTTACTTGATAATTTATGGGCATCTTCTTCTAAAATCCCTAAAGCACTTTTCAAGTTCCTCCTCAGTCCCTAGGATGTTTTTTTTCCTTTGAACTCCCTACCCCTAAAATCATCTTCCTATTAACTCCCTATTATTTAAATAAATCAAAAATAAATTAAAAATGACATCATCCCCACTACCATTCATCCCATTTTATTATTTTATTATTCTTCTCTCTCTCCACTACTAACTTTCTTATTTTTTTATTATTCTACTTTCTCTTTCTTTCTACACGTTTTTTATTAGTTTTTTCTCATCTTTACTATTCATCTCTTCTACTACTTTTTTTTATTAATTTTTTTTATTATTTTTCTTTCTCTTTCCTTCCACACAATATATAGGTACTAAATTACAACAATATTGGTATTTTTCTACTACATTATAGGTATCATTTTTGTAAATAAATATTTACAGTATATATTCATTTTCGTTCATATAAGTCGGTATTATATGATAACATATAAGTACTGAGTTACTACAACAGTGGTATTGTCCTATTCCAGTATATGTATCAGTTTTGTAACTCATTAAAACAAACTATTATGAATCTAATGTGATGCACGGGTAATAGATATTCATTAATATTTATAAATTAAAATTTTTCACTAAATATTATTTATAAATTAAAAAATATAAAATCAATATGTAATACTCCCCCTATATTAATTTATTTAAAATATTATATGAAATATAAAATCAATATGTAATACTCCCCCTATATTAATTTATTTAAAATATTATATGAAATATAAAATCAATATGTAATACTCCCCCTATATTAATTTATTTAAAAAATATAAAAAATATTCTTATTTATTTCATTATCTACAATTTTCATTTGAACACACTACTTCTATATATATATATATATATATAGGGTCGCGCTCACATGAGAATGGTTCTTAATGAAAGAAATAAGAATAAATCTGGACCACAAAATCTGATCATCCAATGGTCATAATAAACTCAATTTTTTACACTCATTAAGGGTATAATAGACCATTTATTGTGTCAAGTGGGCCCCATATCTCATTTCCCATTGTCTTCCCCGCACACACACTACTCACACACACACAGTAACACGCACCCCACACAGTACACACATTCGGCTACACACACACCCCCGCCGGTCCCCCGCCACCAGCCACCGCCGACGCCGCCTCTTTCAGCCTGTCATCACCTTCCTCGACATTGACACGCACACACATTTCACACACACACACATACTTCACGACACAATAGACCACACGCACCGCCGGTTCTCGCCATCCGCCATCGGAACGGCCGTTGCACCGCCGTCGGACCACCGCCGCTGCACCGCCGTATGTCTCCTCCAACACCCCGATTACTGCTCCAATCAACGCTGCCCTCCGGCCTCTACATCCGGTCAGACAAACGTCAAAAACAGAAATTCCGGCTGCAATCCAAATCACCGCTGAGAACATCCGACCTCGAGCATTTGGAGGCCGGAATTAGGTCGCCCAAGAAGAAACTCACCTACGCCGATGAGCTTGAATAATTCCGGCAAGAACAGCAATTTACCGGCCAAATTCGAAGATTACAAAATCAAACATAAAATTAGCACAAAATCTAAAGTAAACTCGTGAGTATTGTGGCAGACAGGTGAGGTCTTCGCGTGGCTGAGACAGTCGGTGGATGCTCTGCCGCTGGGAAGGTTTT